GACAGTGGCTTTTTCAAAGAGTGGGAGTAATTATTTTTAATGTTCCCTAAACTAAAGTCTTAATTTTGAGAGTTTAAAATTGAAATAAAGTTAAAAGCACATTTCTAAAAAGTAATGAAATATTAAGGAGAATTTTGGATGAATACAAAAATCTGCTTAACATTTCATTTCATCAAATTTCAGAAGTAAAGATAGTAAATACAAGAAAGTTATAATAGTTAAACAAACTACCGAAAAGATGTGCAAAAATATTAATTACAGTTTTTATACTAAAAAAAAAACTGGTTAAAAATAGGGAAAAATGTTCAAAATAGGGACTCTTTTTTTATGTTAAAATGATTCATTTTCCAGTACAAAATAAAATCTACATTCGTACAAAAAAAAGAAGAAGAAAAGCACATACACATGGCTAAACACATGAAAAACAGTAAAAAAATTCAAAATTCTTTTCTTTGGAAAAGAATTTTTGATTTTTCATAAATTCTGACTCAGAAATATCCTTGTGAGAATACTACAACTTTCACTAATAATTTGAGAGAATACTTCAACTTACTCTAATAATTGCAGAATTAGTACAAATATCCCGGCGTCCTATCGCTCATGGCATTCCGAGTTTTTGATCGTCACGAAGCTGTCACCACCGCGCGTTGGAGTATTTAATATTCCCCCCTTCCTCTTGGAGGTCGGATTGTGTTTTTTTGAGATGGCGTCTCTGTCAACGCCATTGGGTCTTCATCCATTGATGCTATGAATTTTTCCTCAATTTTTTTTTAAATTTTCACTGACTGGCCTTCTTTTCATCAAATACTACAAAAGCTAAACTTCAATATGCATTTACATAAACTTTTACATGCCTGAATTAACTTCGTTGATTTTTTTATCAAATCGTGTGCGATGAGCAATCTCTAAAATACTTTGAACATTATCTTCGATTTTTTGGGAGTCCTTCACCATGCAGAATTGAGAGAATCCTGAGATGTACTTCAACCGACGTTTCTCTTTCCAATGATGCCCGCGATTCTGTGGTAATCCAGTTATTATAAACCTAAATGATGGATAAAATAATGTTAAAAGGTTGAGGATACTGATCGCCAACTTGCAGTCGTTGATATCAATTAACTTTCCTTGCCAGAATTTCCAGCCCGTCTCCCACTACTCCACCATGACGATGTATCAGATACTGTCTTTGCTTCAGAAGAAATAAAATAAAAAGAATCTTTTGGTTTTTAAAAATGACTGTCTTGTTGATGCCTTTTTCAAAGGTAATAGATATGATTTCTGCTTTGTAACTTCATCTGGTCTCCAGGTATGTTCTGTTTTCATCCCTGGTTCTTTTAGATTTTTTTGTTTTGTACTGAGGTGTAAATTGCGGCACAATGCTTAGTGCAAATCTATACAGTTTAGATCGGCCATATTCTTATTTAAAACCCATTAATTATAATTTTTTATTTGGTACCCAGCATTACCGGTACAATCCTCATAAGAGTAATTTTTTTATCTCTCTATATTTAAAAAAATACATAGATTGCCATTTCCAACGAAAAAATTAAAGAAGTACCTGCTTTTCATTCTCATCATGCAAACATTATAGAATGACAAAATATGAAACTTTTCTAATTTTTAAAATGATGTTTGAGAAACAAGAAAACATTAGAATTACAATACTTTTCGATTAAATAATCTTAGGCATGGCTCAAAAGTAATGGTGGTCCATTAGACGAAGACCACTAAAATTTAACTATGACTAATATAAAATGATAATTCAGGGTCCTTCTAAATTAGCAATCAGGGCAAAAGGATGATTTTGATTTCATGTTATGATTTGTGTTTGTGTCACAAAATAGCATATTTCATCATATAATTGGTGACATTACACATATTTTATATTGTAATTTTTCATTTAAATTTATTTATTAACTCCTTTTTCTTAAAAATTAAGTAACAGTGAAAATGTGTACAGACTAGACTAGTAATGTTTTTCAATTACTGGCCCTATGGACCAGTGAACTAACAATCTTAGTATCTCTCTTTCCCCCCTGCCTTGGTAATTGTTGTCATATGCCATTAAGACAAAAGGGGTGCGTTTCTTTTTGTTTTCCAGTAGTGCTATCTATGGCTGAGAATTCAACTTCTGCTCCACACATACGTCTCAACCCGTTTATAGGGCGAACCCATTAATTTATCCACAGATCGTAATTTTGACCTGAACCAGAGAACGATCAATCTCCAATTCAGTTTCCCCAAAGGTAAGATTTTTTATGGGAACATGGAAGACTTTGTGACCTGACAGATTTAACATGCACCAGTCACCATTTACTACATGTGGAGTCTTTGGTTGGCAGGGATCAAATTTACAACCTCTTGAACATGGGCCCAATGCCCTATCAACCAGGCTATCTCGACCTGCTTTGATAATATATTAGATAATAAGCACACAAGTTACCAATTAATGACTCATTAATATTCATAGTGACTTCACAATAATGAAAGTTAGTTTTACTAAACAATGAAAACACAAACGACTCTTAGAGAAAGTGATTTTGTGAGAACTCTGTAAATATAATAAGCAAGGTATCTCAAAGCTAATTTTACTTGTTGAATGATTACTTGAAATATGATTTTGTGTAAAGACCAATATAATTTTAAAATAAATATTTAAAAATAATTTTGAAAATAAATAAGAAAATATTAATTACTTAAAAAAAAAAAATAAACATACACAACTAGATTTAAAAAAAATAAAGAAAATTTAAAAAAAGAATATAAATTATGAAAATGTTATCAAAATGTCATAAAATACAACACACATTAAAACTATGCAATGTTGGAGTACTTAATAACAGTTCATTTATACACAAGAGGTTTTTAAACACTCAGTACAGAATATAGAGCAAATCTATATTTACCTCAGTACATAGCAGATGATCAACATTTCTAAAGTCTATATTGGCTCTACAGAAATCAAACATATGCACCATTTCATGAGCAAGGGCACCATGCACAGCTGATTTTGTTGTAGCAGTATTCTGACATATGACAATCTGATTCAATTCTGCATCATATCCTCCAGTCACAACTTTGCTACATGGTTCACAGGATACATGACGATTCAAATCCACTGGACTATGAAATGAAACAGTTGACCATTTATAATTTATTCATTACAAAATCTAACAAAGATGATTCAGTTCAGAGCTAATTTAAAAAAGAGAAGCCATTTTTCAAGAACTTTTGCTGAACTGTTACATTTTCAAGAACTGTAACATATAATTAAAATTTTTTTTTTCTCTATAATTTATTAAATTTCTGCTATAAACCACTTTACAGAAGACATTTAGTGGAAACTATATAATTTAAGTCTATAAAGATTTGATAGCTAATTAAATGTCATTAATTTGGATTCTGCTTAGATTACAGAGTTAATGAGACAGTATTAATCATGGTTCTACCGTACATCCCATTTTAAGCCTACTGTTTAAGTGAACTTTTCAAATCTCCAAAATTCTGCGAAAATCAGGGGGTCGACTTATACAACCGAAATAAAGTTGGACATTCGTTAATCTAGATAAGAATAAGATAGATAAGAATCACTGTATCATTTCACCATTTTTAATATGTTATATGCAATTAATTTAGCATTTACTTTTTCTTTACATATAAATATTTCTTTTAGAAAGATACTTTCAATTACATTTAGGAAAAAAATTGAGAATAAGAAAAGTTAATGTGCTGTTTCTTAGTGTGAGATTACGAATTTGAAGAATTGCATAGCAACCCATACCTGAAAATGTCATCGTAGGGCTGTTTGACTGACTGACTGTCAAGCCAAATTTTTTTCCTAAATGTGAGGTTTTAGAAGTAAACACTCTTATATTTAGCAAGCACAATTTATCAATAATTTACAACATTAAATTTAATTTAAAATACTGAAGTTAGGCTTTCAAGCAAAACTAGCTGGTAAAGTGAAACTTCCTGAACAGAAAAAGGGAAAGTCCCTATGCAATTGCACATGCGTGACACGATAGTTCGTACACATAGCCTCAAAAAGCTAAGTACAACACAGTTAAAATAATTTATTCAAAAGTATTTCAAAAGAATATAACGCAATGAAAACTTTTAGAGCTGCAAATTTAAAGATTCCAGAAGATCATCTTGTAGGGTCTGACAAAAAACTTCTGTACTCCTATGCAAAGAATTTGAAACTCGACACTTTTTAAAAGATTTATAACGATTGACTACACGCCTAGTATCATTTGACACATGACCTCTGTAAGAGCAACACTGATGGTTCCTATTTTTGAAAGAATTTTTTCTTTTTCCATCAATCAGTCATTCTAAAACTATTAATCGTAGAAATTTTCATACTTGATTTTTTTCAGATCTGACTTATACACTCAACATACCAGGAACTTGCTACCTCATAATAATAAGAAAAGGAGATAGACTTATACACAAGGATATACGGTACTTTGATTTCAGAAATAGTCAAATAGAATAAAACTGAAATTTACATGAGCAGAGGCAACATATACAGCTGATTTCATAAATTAAATTTTTAGGCAATTCTCTGATAATAGAGTAAACTGATGGAAATGAAGGCTTGTTCAATATAAAAATAGTAGAGATCTTCATTATATTATCTCAAAGGTTTGAAGAATTCTATGAAATAAATATTTTTTTATTAATTTCCAAAACCTCATTTCTTCACTCGCAACTCTTACCACCTACAAACACGAAAAACATAATATCTCAATTAAATATTTATACCTTTTTAGTTCAACTTTTATCTTTTAAAAATTAACTCTTATACTATTGTTTCTATGAATTAGTAAGTTAATTTTTTGGTCTTTAAATTTGTTTCTTATTTTGCGAAAAAAAATTATAATGAAACACATGATTCACATAATTTCCTTAGTCATAGCGATTCAGAATGTTACAGATCAATGGCACTATTATTTCAGCAGAAACAGTGCGCACGTTCTAAGAAAATGTTCGGATGAAACTGCAGAAAAATTTCACTAAATTGGGAAAAATTCCTCAGTGTATAAAAAGTAATTGATTAAGCAATTTGGATAAGTGTTAAGATGGCATTCCTCTCATTCCCTTGCTTAAATTTATGAAGTTAATTTATTTTCTAAAAATGCATAAATAAGTGTTTCAATGTCCTCTAAAAGGATATATATTGTTATTTTAATTTTATTTATGAGAAAAAACATCAGGAGCAAATAATGCTTATTTTCTTATTATCATTTCCCTTATCATTTCCTCATTGTAAGAGAACGGTACATTTGTAATTTATAAAGTTAATTTAAAAATGAATTAATAAATTTCCTAATTTCCACTTTTAGGATAGTTTAAGAATATATATTGTTTTTTTTTATCGATTCATGTGCATAAATTTCAAAAGCAAATAATGTCATTCTCTCATTACCTCACCGTGAGAAAATGACACTTTTGTGACAGATTGATTTCAATATTTTTAAAGACTAGTTAAAAAATTTTTTTTGCTTCATTTTGATATTTTTTAAAGCCTCTAAGAATTGATAAATACATTTATTAAAATCACTGTTTTAAACAAATTCATAATTAAAACTATTGTTCCTGGACCATGTTATCATTTCCTCACTTTAATAAAAACTTATAATAAGCTTAATATCTTTTTAAATATTTAACGTGACTGCTATATTTTTCTTGTCTAGTAACTTCTCTCGAACCTTATCACAAAAAAATTATAAACTTCTGACACTTTTTCTCTTGTTGTCACTACCTGAAAATAGGCATTTGTAAAGAATGAACCACTTAGTTCAAGTCACATAGTCAACAATAATTTTTTTATTATACTCATAACCAAATAAATTTTTTTATGATCTTGAACTAAAATTTCAATTTTATATTTTAAAAAAACCCATTAATTTCATATGAAAAACACATTTTTATAAGAAGATGACAAATAAATATATTTTTTTTAAAACGTAAGTTTACAAATGTAATGAATCATTTTGCTTGTTAGGAATCAAGAGGCATTGTGATTTTAATTTACTTTTATCAAAAAGTTTTATATATGTGGAAATCTGTTTAAAATACCAAGCTATTGAAAAATTAAATTAAAAATTAATACAGAAAAAAGATACAGTGTTCAAAACTGAATAAAAATCATCAAAGTTTTAAAAATAATCTATAAACTATTAAAATAAATTTTCAAGTTTCAAATTCCACACACAGGAAATGATGCAAATTCAAACAGGTAATCCTTAAGCATTTTANAAAATAGGCATTTGTAAAGAATGAACCACTTAGTTCAAGTCACATAGTCAACAAAAAATTTTTTATTATCTCATAACCAAATAAATTTTTTTATGATCTTGAACTAAAATTTCAATTTTATATTTAAAAAAAAAACCATTAATTTCATATGAAAAACACATTTTTATAAGAAGATGACAAATAAATATATTTTTTTAAAACGCAAGTTTACAAATGTAATGAATCATTTTGCTTGTTAGGAATCAAGAGGCATTTAGATTTTAATGTACTTTTATCAAAAAGTTTTATATATGTGGAAATCTATTTAAAATACCAAACTATTGAAAAATTAAATTAAAAATTAATACAGAAAAAGATACAGAGTTCAAAACTGAATAAAAATCATCAAATTTTTAAAAATAATCTATAAACTATTAAAATAAATTGTTAAGTTTAAAAATCCACACACAGGAAATGATGCAAATTCAAACAAGTAATCCTTAAACATTTTAATCAATATAAATAATTAATAAATAAAAAACTTTAATTTTTTTCTCTGATTTAGAGCATGTTTTATTTTCAATAGTAAATGGTAATTCTGCTTTTTGCTCCCCTCCCAACTTTGAGCTGGTTGCTTTCCAATAACAAAACCAGTTTCCCTCTTAACAAAGTTATTCAATGACAAGGTTGTATCTTGAAATTGAATAAAAAAATAGCTTATTCAGTGTTATACCTTAAAATATTTAAATCTCAACAAAATACAGAAAATTCAAAGAAATACAAACCAGTTATATATAAAAATTAGAAATAATTACTTATAAAATTCACCTACTTACTTGTTTGAAAAAAATATTCTTAAGGTGGATTTTTTTTTAGTAAAATTAATTGAAAAATGGAATTAGATACAAATGGCATTGAAATAGTAAAACAAATAACCAGATTTTAAAACAGACAAACTTTTGATGAATAAGCATTATGAAGTAAAGTAATATTTTTTACACAACTTAAATAATATGAGTACTACTGCAATAACTTTATAGTTTCCTAAATTTAAAATGAAGGAGATAAAACAATATTTATCGCCAAATAAATTCTAATAAAAGAATCATTCTTACCATCCAGCTGATTTTAGAGCATCCATCATTAACTTTATTAAGGGGCCTAAAAACCAAAGAGACAATTTAGAAATATCAACATTACACAGTCTCTTTATATTTTTCACAAGAGAATAACATTTTTTCAAAAATAAATAATCCCCCCCCCCAAAAAAAAATTCATACATGTAAAAATAATTTTAATTACAAGCGCCTCTTGCGGACCCGCAAGAGCTTTTGTTAGCACAAAACAAAGTTCTTATTAGGTGATACTCAGTTTAAATAGAGTAAAACATTATGTAAATAAAATTTAAAAAAAATCATAAATAATATGAGAAATAGCAAATTTTTTGTCATTTTTCAAAAAGGGAAGAAAATAAATCATTTGTAAATATGTTTAAAAAACTTCTGATAATTGCAATTGTAAAATATATATCAGTTCCAGTGTTTTCATCACAGAAAAAAAATGGGTGAGAATTTCTCACCCTTTCTCAAAAACAGGGTGAGATTTCAAAAAGTTAAGTGAGATTTCTAAAAACTAAAAAAACACAAAAACTCTTGAAAAAAAATCATTTCTTTAATTATAATACATTTTTAACGTCTTCTATTTTTTAAAGCATTGAATATTTTTGGTGCATCATCATAGAAGATTTTGCCTTTACAAGGTATTTGTCCATCTTACATAAGTGCATAAAAAATTTGAACGTCTTACATGAAGAAACCTTACCTACGGTAAACACGTGGTTGCAGAGAAATGTGTTCTGAAAGGGGTTCCGTGGTTGTGTTCTGTAGTTCGAAAAGGTTCTGAACAATACTGGTAAATAGGGAAGCTAGATAATGGGGCAGATGTTGAAAATAATTAAAGATCCAGGAAGAAAAGTGAAACGGATTTCATTCTAAATGGCGTAATTCGAAGCTTTTTCCAAAATGCGAGAAATTCGCGAGTTTTGAAATTGATTTATAGAATGCGCGAATTTCTCGCGGTAATAATTTTTTAATGCGAGAAAAGGAAAAAATATGCGAGATTCTCGCGTTCTCGCGCTGTAGTGAAAACACTGAGTTCATTCTGGCATCAAATTTAAGCTATAGTGCAGCTCAGCATAAAATATGACTTAATTCTGATTAGTGATAACAGCAGAAGATTTACAAATAATAATCAGTTCATAATAATAAACATTTCATAATAATAATTTAATTTTGGTAAATAACATATAACAAAAATAAAAAGTAATTATTTCAAGAATCTTATATATATTTGTTCAGGAGCGGATCCAGAAATTTCTCCGGGGTAGGAGGTTATAAACTCAGATTCCACCCCACAATAAATTGTTCTTATAAGAAAATTTCTATGGGGAAAAAAAAAAAAAACTTGGGTTTTTAATGCCAGTCTTCTCATTTATTTTTTTCATAATGAACAATACATAAATAAGTGAAGATCATAATTAGATGGAGAAAAAAAATCGATTTTTCCGACCTACCTAGGTGTAAATGCCCCTTTAAATAATTTTTAAATATTTCATTTCTTTTGTAAACTATTAAAAAAAAAAATTATTTTTATTTCATTTTTCAATTTTGGGGGGTCATGACCCCTATGACCCCCACCGCTGGATCCGCCACCGTATTTGTTTTAAGTGAGAAAAAAAAATTCATGTATTTCATCGTTTTAGCTGGTTAAAATTGTTATGACCAATAAAATGGTAACTCTTTTTAAATGATGGAACATTAGGGATGCATAACTTGTGGCCTTCAAAGCTTCTTAACTTGGCCCCTGAACTGTCTTAAAATATTAATAAAAGTATAAAAGAAAAATAAGAGGCAAATTTTTTTTTTTTAACCATGCTCTGTAACAGAAAATTACTGATCTAGTTTAACTAAATTAAAATAAACTAATTCTTGAATATTTTAGAAAGATAATTATTATTTTCAAATTACTTGAATGCTTTCTTTATGCTAAAAAAGAGCTAAGTTATCTTCTCTACTCAGGAAAAAAAAAAAAATATTGAATTGCGGCTTTAAGGTTCATACGCTTGGGTAAACAAACTTAACTTACTTTCAACGACAATGTTATTAATTTGACGTTCACATTTGAGCCTTTGTAAATTGTCCCGATTTTCACCCATAAAGAGTTTCCGAAACCAGCTTCGAGTAATTTTATCACCTCTTCGTTCAGGAAAAAAATCAATTCCAGCTGGTTCTTCCATTAATTCTTCTTCTTTTCCCTCATTTTCAGAACTGCTTGATTCGGAAGACATATTGATCGTTGAATCAGTATTTATTACGAAGAAAAAAAATTATATATTTATTAAATGTAAACGATAAATAGATTTATAAGTCGGTTTTTCTAGCTAGAAAATAGATCAACATTACGTATCTTCACTTAATTTCAAGTTTTGAAAGACTACCTTAGTGCAGTCAAAGTCACTAATGAAACCTATACTACTGGTTTTTCTCGCTGAGCTTGATTGGCGCGTTTATCGCTGGCAATGCATTTAACCAATCAGGTTTTCATTCGCACCCAGAATTTTTCATTTGCGGTGACAATTCTTCGATTCACGTTGATCAACGTTTTCTTTTCATGATTTTCGTTATAAATAAAACTAGGGATTTCCGTTCTTAATGCTGCTGCTGGTCGAACTAATCGACTGTCACAAAAAGTCATAGTATTTTATTTACAGCATTAAACAACGCTATGAGATATTTGTATCATTGACAATAAATTGAGAATAGTAGTAGTATTTTATTTACGTCGCACTAGAGCTGTACAATCACAATGGGCTATTGGTGACGGTCTGGGAAACATCCCTGAGAATGAATCGAAGTTATTCAATCACAGTTTTGATCCTTTGCCGAAAGGATGGCTCCCCCGCTTTGTAGCCCGACGACGAGAGCGCGAAAGTGAGCACTTTATAGTAGAACAGTTTAACGAGCACAGATACCGCACACTCTCGGTCACTTCTCTTCTCCGCATTTTTTAAGTGCAGAAAGAGTTGCAAATCACAAAAATGCCTAAACTATAAATTGACATTTCATGCGCAAAAGGGCCATATTTGTTTACGAACTTAACGTAGAGTTGTTTTAGAAAGTTATCGCAATTTAAGTGCTAATTTGAGAATATTTATTCCTTCTCTCTTTCCCTCCCTTTTTTTTTACTTTGCGTTAAATTTTGCTGCACAAAAATTGAAATTGCTAAGGTGTGTGGAATTTACAGGGAGAACGACGAAGTTAAAAAGTCCAGTCTCAACAATTGGTTTGAAAATTATTAACTGCAAAGCTTGTAGGGAAAAAACGAACATGTTTGACTGATTTTTAGCCAGCTGAAATAAAGTTAATAAAGTTGATGCGTTGAAAGAGGAATTCTTATTTGTAAACAAACACGAATTTTGTCTCGAAAATCTAATTCGGACGAAAGTTTTTGCAAATTTAAATGTTTTTTCGTAGATTTTTTATTTTAAATATTGACTATTGATTTATTGTTGTAGAAAATTTATTCTTCCCTCACGGGATTTTTATTTTTTAATTTTATGTTCTCGAGTAGATGTCAATCAAAAGTAGATCAAATAGACACATTGTCAATCTTAATATTTACAATGTAATTTTTAAGATAAAAAAAGTTAATGAGCAATAAAAACCGTTTCCGATTTGAATTGTTATAATTCTCGTCAACGAGTAAAATTTCGTCATATTTATTTCTTCTTATTGAGTCCAACAATCCATATTCCATAAGTTAATAATATTTGCAAGAGCTTTTTTTCCCTTCAGATCTTGGTAATCGTCTATTTCGTTACGATTAACACATTAACAAAAGGTTCTTAAAATTCTACAATAAATGTATCTTTAAGAATAAAATGTTTCATGAATGAGAAGTAATTACAGGGGTTGGTGAGCGGAGAGAGCAGGAGGCGCAGCACCCTTCTCTTTTAAATATTTATTAATTTTTAATTTAATGATGTATGTTAATTTTTTGATTATTCAGACATGTAAATGTTTTAAATTAATAACTATTAAACTTTCAAATTTTAGTGGCAAAATCAAACATTTCAAAGAAGTCGGAATTAGTAGTTACAGAGATATGAAAATGTAGAAATGTGGCGTTTCGAAATTCTATTACTCAGAGATTACATAACTAATTTTGCTGATTTTTTTAAAAATAATTTTTAGCTTCAAATTGGAGTTTAAAATTATTCAACCGTCTTTTTGATCATTATTTAAAAAATAATAAAATATAATGAATATTTATAGACATTCATAACTTGAATAAAATTAATTATGGACAATGAAATTATGTGAATATATAGTTATGTGCACTCATTTTCTTTATTCTAGACGCAGTATATATAATATAACATGTAATATAATAGTATATTATATTGTTTTGCATATGACGAAATATGCAAAAAGCAAAGCTAACATTAATGGTCAGAAATGTTCAACCTGTTTCCTCTCTGAACCATTGTAACTATTTTTTGCAAGCTTCTGTTGCAAAATTAGTAAAATATTAGTTTAGTATATAGTTAATTATTTATCTCTATATTTATAGAATAAGATATGGTTGAATTTCAAGTTCTAATTAGTGGAAATCTAATTCAGAGGTGAGAAGATATTATATATTTTTTTTAAATAATAAATAACGAACAACGACGATAATAATTTACATGCGAAACATTCAAAATATTCTGTTGTAATTACATGTCTTGCACTAATGTTACATGTTTCTGCAATGCAATGTATTCATAAAGTGAACCTTACAATAGTATCTTATATCCCTTTTATTACATATAGCATATTAAATTATAGTAAATTATATACTATATTATATTATATATAGTATATTATATTATATCCTGATTTAGCACACGACAACCTCAATAGTAATTTTCTTCGCAAAGAGTAATTGTTCTTTCTTTTTTTAAATATTTGAGTTTTCACAATTTTTGAACTATCTTTACTGTTTGTTGAATAGGTTTTGATAAAAAAAAGTTTTCGAATAAAACCTTATAATTTAAAAAAAAAACTATTTTATCCTATTGGTTTGGATTTGTTCTCATTCTATTCAGAACTTTGGAAACTTTACTTGATACTAAGTAAAAAACATTTTCTTACGCGTAACAAGTAAGTCGGAATAGTATTTTTCTTTTTTACACAATGGGATACCTGGAAGTGACGTAGTGTGGGTAACTCGATCCTGATTGGTTGCTGAAATATGGCATTTATTAACATTAGCAACTGTTCTGCCCATTCTATTTCGCGCAAGCCAAGCCCGTCAAATATAAATTCTCTTAAGTGACACAATCCATATTTTTTCACAAAATTCTTCCACAAAGATTTCAATTCTTTCTCTATACATTTCTTACTTAACACAAAGACAGGCATGAAGCCATTTAGAATATAAAGAATCTAATTATGCATCGCGAAGTTTCCAGGTACACAAAAACAAAAATATATTACAAAAAAAAGTATAAAAAATTTAACTAAAATGTTCCTGTGCTTAACGATGAAAATAAGCTACTCTCAATTTACAAATGAATAGGCTTATTGTGAAACATTAATGAGCTATCAACCTCTTCTCTGTCTGCTTCGTATCTTATACATTCATCGTCTTTGTGCCCGCATGGTCTTCGTCGCATACCATGTGAAGAAAGGAATTGCTTTACTAAAATTGAATTCGTCACCACTTATACGTCTCATTAAAGCTTGCCCGTTGTAATAATTTTTGTATTTCTGAATATTTCTCACATTTAGTCTCACTTTCTTCCCAATTTTCGCAGAATGTTTAACATTTTGTTAAAACTGTTTTTGTTAAAACAAAAAAATTTATTTGATCTTTAGAAGAATTCCGAACATTTTACGATCATTCCTATTCGGAAGAAACAAATTCCGACCGGATCTCTTGTTAGATATAAGCGTTTTACAATTTTTCCAAAATATGGAAAAATGTAAAATTGTTTAGATCTGTCACTCACTTAACTTAGCAATGAGAAAAATTACTGCCGATAGAAAATTTTGATCCGCTGTGGCTCTGAGGATAGAGTGCTCGCCTTCGGGGTCGAATTCAACTCCTGTTTCGCACCGGCCACAATGCCGACTGTTGAAATAAGCTTCCGTTAGATGGATCATTAATGGGTTAGAATCACGACCTTGCTGTCTGACTAAACGAAAGAGATTTTCCTGATTTTATTCTTTATGTACGCATATAGGGCTATGTTTTCCTCAAAAAGTCCTTCACAAGAGTCCAAGATTCAGGATTCTCTACATTGGGTTAAAGGTTACAAGTCTACGGAGATGAACAGTGAGGGTAATAAGCTCAAAAATGGATAGGTAGCTCAACATCAATTATTAAATAAAATAATGATGGAAAATACTTTTCACCGAAAGTTATGCGTTTGAATATAAAAAAAAGCATTCACCTTGAACATTTCTTTTAAAAAGGATTTTTTCTCAATTTATTTCCATTGATACTGACTTACATATAAATTTTTTATAAATATTTTATTAAATGTAAAATTATTTGTCACTTTCAAGGTTTAAAACAATTGTTCCAGAGCCATAAAAATATTTGAAGAATGTCAGTAAAGCAACAGAAATTAATTCCACACTCTCATAAAATCGGTTCAACGTTGAACCATAACTTTGTACCATAATGCGGTGAAAATTTGCTGCAACCATAATAAGGTGCTGAATTTAATCTTGTCCCCATTAAATTTCAAACATTATATCGTGTAAGCAATTTAAAATAAGATATCAAGTAAGGGGTACATTAAGATGACAGCAAATTTGAAAGTTAGTATGGTTCAACAATAAAATTTATAACAATCTAAACAGTATTTGATAAAATTATATAAGAGAGTTAGTTTGAGTTCTTCAAATAGTTAGTTTTCAAATTTCACCTTCTTTTTAAAAACAAATGTACATTCGTGTTCGTTAGCAATGAATAATAATAATAATTTTAAAATCCAAGTTTACGGAAAAATTTTGATTTTTCTGAATTCCAATTAGGAGTTTCCCTCCAAGGAAAACCTGGTGGAATGTTTTGAAAAACTTTTTTCAGCATTATATTGAATACGTTTTGACTTGCCGTTTCTTTTCCTAGGAACAATTCTATAAAAATGTCGCTTTCAGGATTAGATTCAATTTCTTTTGCTAAACTACATAACATTGAGCCTTCAAAGATGCTCTCAGAGTTAATAGATTTCAAAGGTGATTCTAAGAGTTGATTTAATGACATCAAGTACTTGAAGCAAGTTTGAAGTTGGTTGTAGCTGTGAATCACATACACATCGAAATGATGTTGCAAACTTATCTTTGTGTCGCGTGGAAATGTTTGTGCAAATTCGGCTTGTTTCTTCGCCGAATTCGATGTGATATTTCTAAGAGAATAATACATCTTTGAAAGATCAGCATCGATTTTGTCTTGTAAAATAGGATATGTTAAAACTGATTCATGCAACACATAAAAATGAGTGATGCATAACAACAAGGCTAAAAAGAATTCTTTAGTAGGCTTAGGTGAACAGTTTCGCAGCCAATAACATATGATAGCAAACAAAAGCTGTAATTTCTCTGGAAAATGTTTCAGATAGAATGTTTTAATTCCAATAACTTCTGCTAAGAACTCCAGTCGCGCTGTTTTATCCATATGCTTAATTTGATGTAAATGTGGAACAGGTTTTCCACTTGGAAGAGCTAACATAGGTTTAGTTTTGAAGAATATTTCAAATCCTTTATCTACATCATATTCATCGACATCAAGTAAACATAGTGATTTATGATCTTTCATGTTTGTACTTGCAGTTTCGTGATGAAAAAGTATACCATAAATAACTTGACGGACAAAGCAACTGCAGTTATAGCTACTTCTGTCAACAAAATCACCTACTTGAGTACGCATGAATGATCGATGTAAGTTGATAACGTTTAGAAAAAGAGGGGGCAAACGCCCCTGGCTGTGTTTACGCACATATTCTTTAGGAAAAGGCGTTCCACAAGGAGCCACTAATTGCGATGTTGGAAGTAGTTTGGTATCCGACAGCATGTTATTGTTGTCAAATAAGTAAGATAACTTGGAAACTTTGATTTTGTAAGAGTTAACAGAATAATCCAACAATCTTTTAAACGCTTCTTGTTTTTCTTTATTAATTAAACTTAATATGTCTCCAAGAACTTCAACATATTCGCGAGTGCCTAAGTAATTTAGAATTTGTTCAATTTTCTGCCCTGGTTGGGGATAAAAGTACCATGCTATGGGTCTTAAATCTTCATATTTTATAAAGTCATTACCAGCCAAGCAAGCTAGTAACTGTAAATTGCTTTTGTTAATGGATGGATAAAATGAAAGGAATTTATTAATATGATAAATCTTGCAACTTAAGTATTTGGTTTTATTATCCTCAGATGTCAGTACACTGCAACTGTCTAGGCTTGACGTTCTTATGTAGCCATTTTTTACATCAAATATATAGAAATCACTATCTTCGCTAAGAACTGGACAGTTGAAATGATTCGCAAGTGAAGCCATGTGACCATCGCTTTCAAATTCGCACTGTACAAATGTAATACCAAGTTTGAAGAGGGTGTTTTTAAAAACACTTTTGGCATTTATAGGGAGAAATGGCTCTTCAATTTTGCCAGTTTCCGATGCGATTTTCACTCGGGAAACCCGTTGCCTCCATCTTTCAATCTGAGTTGGTAAATAACGATCTGAATCATCTTTACCACCATCAAGAACTACGATGGGCTTAATATTGCACTTTTTAAATGATGAAAAGTAAGCTCCAACTTTAGAGGTGTATCTGTAATAGAAGGAAAGAATATATCATTTTGCTTGATTATCTGACTTAAAACAGGAAACGATTGCAATTGTGTACTATGTATCCGCTGACCGAATGAAGACAATAACAAGCTTCTTAAAACCGGAAGAAATTCAGAAAACTTCCTGTGTATCCCTCCGTTTATGTTATGCTTACGAGGCGATGTGTGAACAGGCTTAATGTTCTAGGGAGTTTTTTACTATTGTGATTTGTATTTAAATTTACCCGTAATTTAATCATTTATAAGAGTTGTCTTGTAATTTATAAATTCTAACAGGTCATGAGTCACAAATTTAAGAAAATTAATTAGCATATTATAAATAAAGTGTAAGGTTTGTTAAGTTTTGAGTGTTATCCCTTATTTGGCTATATTTACGGATAACATAATAGGATGCTTTGGTGACTTTCGAATTCATTTTTGGTTTGTTTCGCTGAAATTTAGACTGAAAAGGCGTATTGTAATGTAAACACTACAGGTATAATAATATTGGACGGCGCGCTTTTTCAAGCTTAGGCATAAAAATCAATCGGAAGTAGTGCCGGAAGTTTTAAGACAAATTTTAACCCCTAGCGGTACCTGCACCGGCTTGACATAATGTTAATATTAAAAACTAAACCAAGAGAAAGCTCACCAATGTCTGTTTAGCAAGTTAAAAATCTCGCGTTTTTGTATCTCATTTCGTAACTTAAAGCATAACTATATTTTTAAACTATATATACTATCTTGAAACAAATAATTATTTGGGAATAGAACGTTTAAAAAATATAAAAAATATTTTTAAAAAAATAATCAGTTATGTGAGATATTTTCATCTAGACTAAAAATTAATGAATAATTTAAAAATTTTGCAAATTATTATGAGTCCAGAGGAGACATTAGGAGTAATTATACAAATGTTGAAAAATTAGATTCCAAATGCTTTTCATTTTCATAAAGCTGAGTCTTTCTTCATATTGATATGCCATTTTCATGATTAAAATAGAGGGCGCTTGCAAAGCACAGGAAAAATTAACCTAACAATCAAGAATAACTGTTATGCATTCACAGCAGTTCTGAAAAACATATTCTTCGAAAGCTTCCAAAAACAGCCATAATGAAATTTATCTTGAGTTTTTTCCCTGACATTTACAATGGGGGCACCAAACAGGGTCTTTTTGTAGATGTTTGTGTTCCCCAAACCATTAAAAATTCGTTTAAATAGTTTACGAATTCTATATCAAATATTAAGAAACTAGTTTAATTTAAATTTTTTAAAGTGGCTCCTTATGTACGATGAATGCATTTCACACACGAACTAACAGGTTTTTATTTATTTTAACCGTCCCTGTCAATAACTTTAACCATAAAGTTGATTATTTTTCTTATGACCAAATCCCTAATATGCATAGTTATTGGACTTCACTTTTAACAAAAATTGCAAACTTGTGTATTGAGAACAGTCATTACGGAATTCTCTGAAGAAAACTTTTCAGAAAATATGGGAAAATCAACGTAAAAAAAATAACGTATGCGTTAAACGCAGCTTTTGCATTACGTTTGGCAAAACCCTAACGTTAAACGCTATTTCTCAAAAGCCTAACATTTTAATGTGTGAGTTGATTTCGCTGGGGGAAATTTGCTTGCATTTCCAAAAGTTTTTTTTTTCTTCTCATTTTCATTTATTTTTTATTTTTTAATTTTCACTATTCTTCATTTTAATTATTTCTTACTTTCATTATTCTCTTAAAAATATGAATAATGTTGGAATTGGTGATATATTATGGTATAAAAGAAGAGTAAATAGGGGAAAAGTTTTTACTGGATTGTCGGAGCTTCAATGAGAAACATACTTCAGATTGACGAAATAGGTTAGAGTGAATTTTATTTTATATGGAAGAATCTATATTATATATATTTCTCTTACACGGGGACAAAAAAAAGCCTCATTACAACTCCCCGAATGGCAACNACTAAAAATTCGTTTACATAGTTTACAAATTCTTTATTAAAAATTAAGAGACTACTTTATTTTAGAATTTGTAAAGTTCATCATAAAAGATGAAAGCATTTGTGTCCCAAGACGCAAACAAATAGGTTCTTATTTATTTCAACCATCCCTGTCAATAACTATAAATATGAAGTGGATTATTTTTCTTATGTCCAAATCCTTAATATGCATATTATTGGACTTTACATTTAACAAAAATTACAAAATTGTGTATTGAGAACAGTCATTACGGAACTCTCTGAAGAAAACAATAGAGAACTTTTAAGAAAATATGGGAAAATCAACGTAAAAAAATAACGTATGCGCTAAATGCAACTTTTGCATTACGTTTGACAAAATTTTAATGTTAAAAGCTTTTTCTTAAAAGCCGAACATTTTAATGTGTGAGTTGATTTGATTGCGCTGGGGTGAAATTTTCTTGCATTTCCAAAAGCTTTTTTTTTCTTCTCATTCTCATTTATTTAATTTTCATTATTTTTATTTTCATTGTTCTTTATTTTAATTATTTTTTATTTTCATTATTCTCCCCAAAATATGAATAATGTTGGAATTGGCGTTATATAATGGTTTAAAAGAAGGGTAAATAGAGGAAAAGCTTCGATGAGAAGCATACTTCAGATTTACGAAATAGGTCAGAATAGATTTTATTTTATCTATGAAAGAATATTTTTTTTAAATTGTCTAATTTTGCAGTTCATTATTTTCTTATTTTAATATTTTATTACTTATTAAATTAATTGAGAATAATATTTGAATGAAAAGTAAAAACTATATGCTTTTATATAATAAAAAAATTAGTATTAACATGTAGTGTGTTATGTAGAATAGACTTAATATTAAACATTAATATTATATTATATTATATTACGTTTAGAAACCAATTCATAACGAGAAACTAATACAAAATTAAATTGTTCAAGACTTGCTCGTAGATTTTAGAAAATTGTGTTTCTGTTTTTACTGAAACTGTATAAATTTCAGTTCTAATTAAAAAAAATAGGTGAAAAGTGATATTTTTTTATATTCTTTAAAAAATATTATCATCTTTTAACTATTATAAATGTTAAATGATAATATGTATCACGTTTTCTAAACCAGTATCTCAATTACTTTACGAGAAATATTTGTTTAAACATAGATAAAAATGAAAACACAGGATCCGAAATGGGGTATGGGATAATTTTCATAAAGCATTTTTCATAAAACATTTTTCAAAAAATTTACGGATACAAAAATTTGTATTTTTATTAAAAATAGCTTCTAGGCAATTATTATTTTTACACAATGTATACTATGACTGTTATACAATTATTCTAATTTTCACACAGTTTTAATTTGAGTTTGTTTAATTTGTGACCTTTTTTGACAAATAACTTAAACAAATTGATTTTTTATAATTAAAATAATTTATTAATTATTCTGATTTACAAATATATTTAATTATTTTGATCAGTACAATTTATGAATACTCTAATAAACTTTTAGTTTTTTTTTTTAAAAATAGACTCATGTAGACATACCCAATTATATAACCTAATATAGGTATGAAGATGATATAAAGGACAGCCTAAGATAGATTATTTAAATAATTTGGTTTGTTAAGTTACGGAATTGAACAAAAACTCCCAATTAGAGAAGAAAATTTTTTTTTCTTAAATTATTAAGTTAAAATATAAGAGGTGAAAATATGTACACAAAAGAGGTGAAAACTAAAGCCAGTATAATTTGTACAATATGCGTTTAAAATTATATATTATCATGATCTTTGACAGTACGATTTTGAAATCTCGAAATTTTACTTATTTAAAAAGTCTGACCAGGTAGTCACCCGAAATGGTTAGTGTTCAATAAAAAAACTATATATATATATACTCAGTGTGGAAAAAAAATATACTCACGTGATGTAGTCTCCACCAAAGACATAACTAATTTTGTTAAAAGAGTACAGAAAATGGAGTAAATTATTTCCATCAATAACAATTGTACAATCATGAAGTTTGTAGGGCATTGTGAGGTGCGGATTAGCATCCATGAATGTCGATAAACTTTTCACACCCATCTTTGTTTACGAACAGAAAAGGAAATAATAAGTAGACCCCGAAAGTAATATAGAAATTTTTTTTAAAATAAACTTCTAAATATACATGGAAAAACTGTCATGTTAAACGCATTATCATCTAATTATTTGATTATCGTTGACGTGATGCAAATTTATTTCATTAAAGTCATCGTAGCTTTTATCTTTCGTTGATTATTGTTATTGTTAAAGAGATATGTAATCTGTTAGTTTCTGATAAAATATGAGCCGATAATTTGAAAATTATTCTTTAAATCATAATTTAGAATAAAAGAACTAGAAAAATATGATAATAATTCAGTCAGATCAATATTATATATACATATAGATTATTGAGAAACTATAGCAATAATAGATATAGAATAATATGAATGCTACAAATGCACATAAATTATGATGTGTGTTAAGCCTTATTTATATAAGATACTAGGCAGGATTGTTGCTTTTGATTTGAATTTTTTAATCGTTCACCAACTCTAATTATGTTATCTGTATCTAAAAATATACTTAGATGATGGAGTTTGCTGTTCTTAGGGAGAGGGGCTTGATTTTTTTAGATGATTAAGCTCCTGGTAAAGTTCTGATTCTTGAATGACTTAATAAGTCTTTATGGACCTATCAATTTCTTTAGATGAAGGTACGCCAAAAAATTTAGTTGACCTGCAGTTGTTAATAAATCGCAAGCACCAAGAGATTACTCGAATTAGACGTGTTAATGATGAAAATTTCTCAATAATTGTTTTTGTTAGAAACTGTGATGTTATTGAGAACTACAGCTGATTGTTATACGCATATTAGATCTTTTTTCAGTTTGCGATGAGGCAATAGATGGGAACTTTGAGAAATCTGGTTTTAATCATTGTGGTCCAGTCCACCACACATCATGATTTTTTAATTTTGATGCAGAAACACATTGAGAAGCACAATCAGCAGGATTTTCTTGACTTTTTACATGCTGCCAAGTTGCTCCTGATGCCAATTCTTGAATTTTAGAAATACGGTTACTTTATTAATGGATCATCAGAAAGATATCTGGGAATCTTAATGTCTGCTAAATGTTTCATCTGATCTTTAAATTGTCTCCTGATTTTTAAATATTTTTTTTCAACGGATCATCCCAAGAGAAGTTTTCTTCCCACAGCTCTTGCATCAGGACTTTTAACTGAATTGTTGTAGGTGACAGGAAACCAAGAGAGTCGTAAATTTTAGCAATAATAGAAACAAATTGACGTTTCGTCAGCGTGTCTTCGGAAGTAGGACTTATTTTGATTCTGAAAGTATCTTCCTTGGCATTCCAGATAGTGCCCAAGATTATCTTCTTCAATTTGTAGAAATCCGGAGGAGTTGCGCAATTCAGGTGGTAAAGATTCAAGGACTGATGATTAATTCCACCTTCGAATAGAAAATCCTCCTCTTTTCATAAGCTCTATCATTTGATTGACTAGTTGCTGAGCCTCCTCTTCAGTATTTGTTGCAGTTAGAAGATCATCTACATAAAAATCTTCTAATGCGGCTCTAGAAGCTAATGGAAAGTACGTTGATTCATATTTCGCCAACAGTTGAATCGTGTGAATAGCCAAATAAGGAGCCGGAGCTGTACCGTATGTTACGGTGAGCAATCGGAATTCAAGTAATGGATTCTCAGATTTTTCTCTCCAAAAGATCCGCTGGTAATCCACATCGCTACTGTTTGAATTTGACGGAATACTTTTTCCATGTCACTGGTTAGTGCAACAGGATAACATCTGAATTTTAAAAGAACATTAAATAGTTCGTTTTGTAGCTTCGGACCTACATGAAGAACGTCATTAAGAGAAATGAAACGATTTTTTCCAAAGAAAAAATCTTTGTTTTGCCTGATTCCGAGAATTTCCTAAAACTCTATCTTTCTTAAAAGGTATATTAACAATGTATCTACCATCGCAACTTCTTTTTGTTGTTTGAAGGTAGAATTTTTCGACTTTTTGACTATCGATAGATAAAGTAGAAGCATTTGGGATCGATTCAAATTCCCAGAATTTGTTCACAACATTATCTAATTCGACTAATGCATGGCAATTAATTAATGACATACTCTTTCTTTCACTCCTAGAATCAGCAGAAATTCGAACGGACAGTAACCAACCTAGTTTTGAATTTAAAGCAGATGGTTGATTTTGGATGCCTTAAATTTTTTCATTTTGAATTAAATCAGAGAATATGTCAGCCCCCAGGATTATATCAATAGGTTGGCTGATATAGAAAGTAGGATCTGCTAGTTTCAATCCTTGAATATGAGGCCAATCAAATTCTGAGATTTCAAAGTTAGGCAGATTACAGATTTTTAACAACAAGAGCATTTACATTAAAGATCTCTTGACTAAAATAAGACGAAAAGTTCAAAGCGACCTTTCTAGTTGCAAGAGCAGTAACTTTATCATCTAATCCTAAGATTGTATTTTTAGATTTTTGAAATTGAAGATTTAAATTCTTGCAACATGATTCTGGGATTAAAGAAGCTTGAGAACCCCCATCAATTAAAGCGTGACAGTTAACATATTGTCCTCGACTATTTTTTAACTCTTACAATTGCTGTTGATAGCAAAATTAATTTTGAATCAGTCATATGACCTGTTAGACAAATTGGATTATTCTCAGAACTTGTAATTGGCCGTGTGAGCTCTTGTGTTGTCGGCGGCTGATTTTGATTGGTTTGGTTAAACTTGACTTTCTTTAACTTCTTCTTTAAACTTCTTTAACTTGAGTATCTAACATATAAGGAACACAATTTTTTTTTCTCGGTATCTTCGATTTAGGGGGAACCCTCTTTTCCTCTTAAGAGTTTCACTTCGGATTTGAAAAGCAGGAAGTCATGATAACCTTGACCGCAATTATTTGATTTGAATTAGGAACGAAAATTTAACTTTCGAAATAAGATTAAAGTGACATAAATATTTAAAAAATATATCACACGAACTAAACATAAATTTTGATTCAAGTTCTATTTATTATAAAGTTAATATTAATCGATTCATAATCATAGCAGCAAGTCATTAATTATAAATATAAGACTTTCGATTTCAAATGATAATAATTTTGATTTCTTATCTTCATTAAATTATATAAATATTAGATTTTGAATTTATTTATAAATAGAAGTCCTCACTGGTGGCTCCAAAATGTTTCGATTAGTATGTTTTTGTAATGATATCAAAATGGGCTTACCTGTGATTTCAATTGCAACCAATTTCTAACTGAATATTTTTAATTTCTATTAAATAAAAATAAAAGTTTTTCATTGAAATTGAAAACCGCGCCATCTATTGGCGAAAAGTTTTATGAGCTGATTATCAATCATTAGAGGTTAAATAGTATTAATTTACGGAAACCTTTCTTATAACCGTCGTTGAACTGTCGTCCCAATTTTAAGTTTACGACTACCAATGTTCAACTCTGTAGCCATGTAATTTCGAACCAAATCCTGAAGGCAATCCAACTCCTATATTAAGAATTGAAAGAAATTTTGCCTTCGTGGAGGATATTTTGATGGAACTAACCAGCATTTACGTTACATGTGGAGGAAAACCAAGAAAACCTTCGACTGTTAATTTGATATCAAGGGGACTCTAAGCCATGATCCGTCTACCACAGAGGACATTTTATGTCAGCACTGTGGTTGATGCGGAATTCGTAGCTATCAACCATTATTGCGATTCGAACGGGAGTCAACTCATTGGGAAGCTAGCGTTCTATCCCCTGAGGTTTGGGGATCCTTTCACGGAATCCTAGGATTCCGTAGAAACAACTTTTGTTCTAGAGCAGTGGTTCCCAAATGGTTTTTTTGTCGAACGCTAGGGGTCCATTGAAGGGTTACAGAATTTCCGAGAGTTAGGAATTTTTTTTAACCAGTTATGATTTTCGAAACCAGTATTTAAATTTATGTATAATTAATAATCCAATTTTTATAAAACATTTCCGTTATTTTTATGAAATTATTATGCTTAGGGAAAGAAATTTTGAAACTATATATTTCTTAATAACAATAAAATGAATGAATTATGAAGTGGATGTATGCATTTATATGCATTTAGGAAAACATTAAGTAATATTTCGCTTCAAATAAAAATAACCAAATTCAACAATGAAGAAGTATGGTTTTCTGATAACATTTTTTCTTCTTCTTTTAAGTTTTTATTTTTAAAAAAAAAAACATATTTTAATCTGATCTATTTTCAGTTTATGCATGAACCAAAATTCAACTTTCCAAACTTCTGCGAATTCAACTGTTTGACATAAGGACTTATTTTTAAGACTATTGATTAAACGATATGATGAAAAAATTTAACTTTTCATTCATTCACTAAATATTTTCCGAATAATTAATAAAATTTGGAATATTGCATAGATTCAAAATTAATAATAGTCTTTAGTTAATTAATATGTTCGCAAATGCAAATAAAATTTATTAAGTCTCGGGTCCTACACCCGAAAAAAATTGGCAACATTGACAAACTCATTGGAAAAAAGGGAATCATAAAATTTCTTTCTAGAAAAAGAAACATTTATGTGTTATCTTGTAAAAGTTTTTTTAAAAGCTATTTTTAAAACATATACTTCTGATTCTGTGATAACAGAAAATATACTATTTCGTCAAGAAAAACAAATAAAGGTTCATTAAAGCTTTATTATTTTTGGACAACTCGTTTTCAACATATACTTACCTGACAGATAAATTCAGTAACAGATTAAATACAAAACCTTATATAGGATTCGAAATACTTAAGCAATTAGCCAATTTAGAATTTTTTTTTTTGTTCCAATAGATTAATACAAATATCCTTCGAATAATTACATCTACTAACAAGATTGTGATGCCACAATAGGCATTACATATTTCCTAACCTTTAAAATTTCCTAAATACATTTTTTTAATCATTCTTAACCGAATTTTAATTTAACGAAACCAATTATTTAATTTTTATTCGTTTCATAAAAAGAGAATATAAAATAATTTATTTTTTTCTTAACAATCAATGTAACGAATAACTTTTAATTTCAATACTAATGTACAACTCATTAATTCACTGTAGAGACTAAATCGAAAACAAAAATTATCAATAACTATATTTCTTACCGTAAAAATGTTTCAGTTATATGGTTATACTAATTCTCAGTCTTTTTGGCGATTAGCATTGCCATATTATTCTTCAAATTTAATATTGTTTTTGACTATTTTATATTTCGGTAAATCGCCTACTATGGACATCCTTACATGCTCCTAAACTGTCTGTTGGGAATAATTCCATCACTTTTTAATTTGACTTTTGATTAGGCTGGCCATGGGGGATTTATCTCCCATGGCATGTTCTTACTGATATTAATATTCATAATTTATTATTTCACTTAAAAAGTCTTTTAAATGAAATTTTCTTAATTTTGTATCTCGAGTTCTGCAACTGTTACTGAATAAAACTTTTATTATAATCCTGATTTCATCTTAGTCTTTAATTATACCATACAACAACAACCACACTAAATTTCGTCATTATAATAAATATTCAACTATATTGAAATAACATAAAGTATTTCGAAATTTTTTTGTTGCTGCAAATTTTAATGTACTGGATTTAAATGCTTTCTTTTAAAAAAAAAATAAGGCTTCATTATTCGCTATTCTCCCAAAAAGTCGTATAATGCGGAATAACATGGTTATTCGAAATAAGTGGACAAAAATTAAAGAAGCAAGAGAAAGCGTTTTAACAAGCAAATGTGACTGTAGAGAAAAAATAACAACTACAAAATATTTCTCAATTTGAAGTTTTTTTAAATTTTATTTTGCCTATTACAAGAGCATATTGAATATAAAATAAACAAACTTATAGTATAGTGAAAAATTATATAACAAAAATCTATAATTATTGATAGGCGATATAATTCGCTGAATTGACAAATTTTTCTTTACAACAAGTATTCTTTAACAGACAAGGTTCATGAGTGATGAAAAGAAACGATTCAAACATTCATAATTTATTTCTCTGAATCCAACTGAATTATATTCATAATTCTGCAAGCGGAGCAGAAAAATTAAAAACAGGATAAAATGTTAGACACATTCATTAAACATAATCTTTCGAACAAACCATCAATTGAATATATTTTTATTAATCTTCTGCTAAACTAAAAATACATACATTTTAAGCAAAAACGGATTTTTAATTAAACTGCTAATAAATGTTTATAAGTGCTTCAATTTTGGTAACCAAATATGCATACCATATTTGGATAGTAACACATACCATTTTGATTTTTTGCAAAACACATTTAATGGATGAATTCCTTGACTTGAATTTTTGGAGCTCGCTGATTACGCATATCCTGACGATACCGTACAAAAACAGATGAAATAGTTTAATCTTATGGGAAGAGTGGAGATGTACCAGCTTTCTCTTTTCTATAAATTTTGTGTTTAATTAAACTGTTTCGAATTCTGCACCAACAGTGTTTTTATAGTAATTTTTTCATCAAAATAAAAGTTCTTATTAAATACATATTTAGAAATTGAGACTTGTGATTGGTGCATTTTAAGCAGAACGATCTAACCAGATTCAATAAGAATGTTCCTTAAGTTTCTAAAAATCATGAATTGTAAATTTATTATTTTGTAAATTTATTATTTTAAATTTAGTTTTCGGTTGTAGTTTGTTTTTCAGATAGAATTATTTAAAATATTGATTTAAGAATTACAATGGGAACCAATTTTTGTTGTTCTCTGTTGAGCAAGATTTTTAATTTTTTTTCAAAAAATCAGATCTAAGATACTTTAGTATCGCTGATCTCAAGCTTGCAATCGATTTATTTCTCCAAGCTACAGTTTTTTTTAATGACATTTTTAGTCTATTTTTTTGTCAAAATGCACAAGCGTAAAAACGTAAATATCAATAAGGGGGTTGCATAAATGTTGTGACTAACTTAAGGGAGTTAGGGCTTATCATCGGAATTAAAATTGCTTAGAAACTCATGCACAAAAATTGATCCTGCTTCTTGTTTTTTTGGTTTCTAAACAGATCATAATAGGAAAGCGTCCACGATGACATTTCCGGGCAAGGGTTTCTATGCAATTTTAATCCTGATGATGTGCCTTGACAACAGCAGAAGTTTGTCCCAACATTTATGCATCCTTTTCATATACATTGTTTTTAATTTCTACATTTCGACAAATAATCGACTCAAAATGTCATTAAAAAATCTATCTTTAGGTGCAATACTAATTTCAAATTTGAAACACTCTCACCCGAATTAGGCAATATCAAGCATTTGCATAAATGGAACAAAAAATTTATTCCAAAGTGTTGTTATTAAAATAAAAAATAATGGCGTCACGTGAAAAATTCGAAATGGATCGTTCGAAAAGTGGAGGGAAAATCGATTGTTTAGTTTTCCAAGTTGTTTAGTTGAAGGATCTTGGATTGAGCTCTAAAAGCTCCACGTCGCGGATTTGACCTAGTTTTTAGTATTTTCTCTTTTCATTTTGTATAGGAAATAGCATTTTACACTTTGAACTATAAGTGATTCGTCAGAAAATAATCTTCATTTTCACTCGAATTTGACTTTGATTTTAAAGAAATTTTAAACATCGTAATATAAAAATTTACTGAGCAGCATATCAAACAATTTAGATGCCTCAATACCCAGCAATTGCCTGATTGATGAATTTGGTCTTTGTTCAGTTAGTTCTTTAGTTAAGTTGTAAAGCAGTGTACCATTGAACAATTTATGCAGCTTTAGCGGCTCAAAAGGAGCGTTTAATAAGTAATTCAGAGCAATGCAATCTGAGATACAAGCCTGAAGTTGGTTGAAGCTGTGAACAATGCTTGAACTAAAGAATTCATCGCTGTTACTTGACTTTTCACAATATTTTTTAAGATTTGAATGAACTAAATTGGCACCCTGTTGAGAAATTGATGCACTCGGGAAAACAGCATCCCTTGATGTTTCAAACAGAATCTCTTTAGCTTGGAAATATATCAAGCTAAGTATAAGCGCGAGTAAAGATTCTTTTTCCGGTTTTGGCGAGCTTTTCAGTAGCCAATAGTTTACGCAAATAAAAAATAATTGTAAATGGCTCGGAACATCCGAGACAAAATCTCCACTTACTTCCAGAACATTCGACATAAAACTTCGAAGTTGATCTTTATTTAATGTATGTATATCACTCAACTTCAAGACGAAATTGCCGTTTTTTAGTTCAAAGAGATATTCCACTGGAATTCTCTGTATGATTTTTCCATTTCTATCATATTCTTCTATTTGGCGAATACATTCATGAACGTGCCGTGTGCTGTTTCTAGAATAATGGTGTACAAGTATGCCGTAAATAACCTGTCGAATATAACGTGAGCATGTGTAACTGCTACTTTTGGAAAAGTCATCGATTTGTGGTAATAATATATTCCGATGCAAAGTAATTATGTTCATTAGAATGGGAGGAAGGCAACCTTTATGAAAAGCCACAACAAAATCTCTGGGAAGCATTTCTCCACATGGTGTAACCAATTTGGTTTCTTCAATCAAAGCTTCATGAACGTTAGAACTCAAATACTCAAGAATGTTCACCATATTAGTAGGCTTAATTTGGTAATCTTCTATCGAATTTTCAATAATGGATTTCACGTTTTCCCTCTTTTCTAACTCAATCAAATTTAAAACTTTACTTTTTGCTTTATCAAGAGTTTTGGATCGCAGCCAAGAAAAAAGTCCCTCAAACTTATTCCTAAAAGGGACCGTAGCCATATGATGCCAGTAGAACTGTTTGAATTCTTCGTAAGGGGACGCATAATCATTCCCCGCCAATGTTGCCAATAACGGCAAGACATTTCTGTCTTTTAGACAGAATACTGCATGAAGAGATTTCAAATAATAAATTTTACACGATATATATTTCACTTTAGATCCATTCGTGAGAGTTTTGGTTTTGACACCAACATTGATGTGATTTAGCCTAATGAAACCATTTGGTAAATCGTATATATAGAAATCGCTGTCTTCACTTAAGATTGGACAACCGTAATGCACAGCAAGGCTTGCCATTTGGTTGTCACCTTCGTAATCACATTGAGCATAGAGTATGCCCATTTCTGATAGAGTGTTCTTGAAAACTTCAAAAGCATTAATGGGTAGAACTTCTGTTGAACTTTCCTTGTTCTCTAAGAATTTTTTAATATTTTTTAATTTATGTTTTTGTCTTTCAAGTAGTTTCTGCAGCATGCGATCTGACTTATCATAGCCTCCATCAAAAATAACGATTGGCTCAATGTTGCATTCTTTCAAACAAGAGAAGTAATTTATGATGCATGCAGCGTACCTGCAAAAGAGCAAAATTTGTTAGAATAATAATTTAAAGAGACAACGCAAATCCATGATTCCAAACAAAGTTCATCTACATATTTTTTAATATTCATATTATTTGTCTTATGAATATAAATTTTATTTAACATCAAACTGTACAAATGGAAGAAAATTCGCAAGGTTTGTGACACAAAACTAATTCAAATTTTTAAAATCTTTGCCATACGTCTAGATTTAAAAATGTTCAGCTACTTAAAAGCCACAAATGGTGACTTCGATCTAGTGTTTAAAGAATCACCGATCTAGTGTTTAAAGAAATATTTTTGCTTATTATAAATGTAATGTCAGAACTTATTATTTTGTCCTTTATTTGTGTTAGTTCAGAGATAGAGCTACTTTCGTATAACTTTTGAGAATTTCTTACTTCCTAAAATTAGTTAGTTTTTTGTTTTTATAGACAACGAGCGAGGTTGTCCGACCTAAGATTGTTTGTTTAACACGTTCACTCCAGGAAAAGTGAAAATACTGGTAGAAGAACTATTTCAATATTAGATAATATTCGGGAGGAGTTAATCTATTCTCAACGATAACAATTCACTGCAAGGAAATTTATCACGGCGATGAAGCAATTCAATATAAAAATTGCATCCGTTAAAAATAATTGGTATTTGGGCAATATATGTGACGGAATGACATTTTGACTTGCAAAATAACAATTAATTGAAGTTTCTATGCATCTAATTTCAAATAAACATTATTTTTTTCTCTTGCATATCATTATTATTGGTATAATGTGATTAATAAACTAAAAAAAAAAGGATTTTTAAAAATTTTTATTTTTAATTTTATGAACTTTTTACTTGTGTGACGGAATGACATTTTGGCAACCAAGCTTTTGGCATGCCGCTTAGAACTGGTAGTTTCTGTGAATTTTGCAAGTATTATTTTCTGAACTATTTTTTACTTTTTTACTATGTGTAAGCAATGTAAAATGTGAATTTGGAAAATTAACCTCAGGTTGGCTAGCAGTTATTAACATCTATTTGCTGTGACGGAATGACAAAAAGTTTAGTGGAAGAAAGTCTTCATTTAAAAAATGTTTTATTAATATGTGAAAGATAAACAGAATGTAACAGATAAACAGAATTAATATTTATGTAAGAATCAGTTAAAATTTCAATAATTTGAAAATTAGGTTGTCTCTGAAGAGGTTTTATATCTAACTTGCCAATGTCTTAACTTCACTTAAAAGTTGACACTTTCGTGGAATTGCCCAGTTATGGATTTTTATTATTCCCGGAAAAAAACTAAAAAATGAAATTTATTGCTACCAGTTTTTACTCCGGTGCGCTGCCAAGATGAGGCAATCTAGCATGACCCACCGGTGGATCAACCCGGCGTGAACGTGTTAAATCGTGTTTCCCTATTTTGTAATAAAAATTGTTAAGTTTATTTTAGAGTTCTTTCATTAAGTGCATATCAATTGAACAACAGTTAATAGTTTCTACAATTACTTCTAGTCAAAGTTACTACAATTACTGCTAGTCAAAGTCTACAGTTACTGCTAGTCAAAGAACAAAATGTATTTTTTACTGCAATTTTTTTTAAACTGAAAATTCTCATGAAATAATGCATTAAGAAATTTAAAATTTAATTGGTGCAATTTAAGTAGATCAGTTCGGCTCGTGGGAACGTTCTCGAAGTTTCAGAAAGTTATGAATAGTATATTATTATTTGTTAAGTTTGTTAATATGCACTGTTATAGTTTGTCTCACCGAATCATTTTAAATAATGAAAAACAATTTTTTTTTTTGAAATTACTCTGGGAAACAAATTTTTGGTTACATTTATACACACAATACTTGATATCACATCCGATCAACACTTGATCGGGTGTGGAAATTTCAAATCTGAAATTAGTTTTACTCGAAAAGCTACAGATATTTTTAAATGACATTTTTAGACGAAATGTACAAGTTTAAAAGTAAGGGTTTCATATATAACAGTGAGTCGAGTACATGATACGACAAACTTCTAGGGGAGTTGGGGTACATTATCAGGATTAAAATTGCATAGGAATCTATACCCCGAAATGTGGGTGAACACGGTCAGGGGCGTTTCCTTATTATGAACGTCTGTTATATATAACATTTTTAAACTTGCACATTTTGACAAAAAAATAGACTACAAATTATGTCCTTTTAAAAAACTGTAGCTTGAAGAGAGAAAAATCTCTTGCAACAACAACAAAAAAAATGTTCCGCAATGTTTCGATGAACTATGAACAGAATTGTTCGAGAAGTCCTCAGTTGAACGAATGTAAACAACTTGAAAGTTGAAAAGATTCGCATTACTATCTCTGTGTTACAGATACTCATCCAAAAGTTTCCATTTTCGTAAAGACTTTTATACATTTCTCGAAAATTGCCAAAAAATCTTATATTTTGGCTTTACATTTTAAGTCAATATGCATACATTAAAAGCTTGCAAACAATCTGCATAAATAATATTAAAAAATGTTTTTATAAAATTGAAAGAAATGGATGGTTAAGAGGCATGTCACACGATAAGAGAGTAACATGAATTTAAAAATTGCATGAAAAACTGATGGTCAAGTCAACTTTGTTATTTAAAATGTAATGAAAGACAATAAAGTGAAATATTTTCTTGTTTGCAATAAAGGATTCGAAAAATTGTCTTTCTCAGTGGTTGGATAAAATTTACATTATTTTTGTAGTTAACTACAACTTCTTTATTACAAATGTAGTTAACTACAGCTATTTTGTTTTTTAAAAAACATGTAGTGATTACAAATTACTTTCGAAATGTAGTCACTATTCAAGTACTTTTTAGTTATTCTGGAGGATTTAATTTACACTTGCTCAGAGAATAGCAGATTGAAAAAAAAAGTTCGTAAAAACTGTTTTAGAAAATAAAAGGTTTATTTTATCATGGGAAACTGTTAAGAAGTTCAATTTTTTATGCCGCTAACTGCCAAGGATTATTGCACTCCAGAAATGTTAGAAAATAATAAAATATTTTGTGATTTTGTTAAGTGTCTAAAAGATTTTAATTTCCACCCCTGTGGCAGACTGTGTTTTGGGCTTTCTGCGACAAACCTCTCAAGCACTAATATCTTTCTGCAAGATACTTTGAATAATAACAAATTACATATTACTAATTAAATTTATAGTAACAGAAACGTTGTGTTTATAAAAAAACCCATTTGAATTAAATAAAATTGTATATATATTTTTTTATGTGAATATGTAATATTTTTTTATTCTGATATGATGAGCGATATTCTCACATTTTGTAAGAGGAAAACACTCTAATTATTTCCTTTTTCGCATTTCGTAAATCATCACATCAAAAAAAAAATTCTTTTTTAATAATAATTAAAAATCGTGAAATTCCGTAGCTGTTAACTACCGAAAAAAAAGATCAACTGTGAAATTACGCTAATAGGGCTCTTCAAAAAGGTGGTACTAAATGCGCTTCGAGACTTGGCTGTTGTAATAAATAATATCGTATTAAAAATATGGGATTTTAAAAACTGTGGAAATAAATGCCCGCCCCCCCCACCCAAAAAGTGATAGAATCATTGTTTAAAAAATTAAATATTCATAAGTGCGATTCGGAATTTCCCATTTAGTGCAAAATATATCGGGATATTTAAAAACCACGTGAAAATCAATATCAATAACTGCCGAAAATACAATCGATACACTACATGGATTTGCGCTAGTATCGGCATAAAGTAAGCGCGTCAAATTTATTATTTAAATTAAATATATTAAATATATTTGCGCGTATTATTTAAATTAAATTTTACGTGTAGAAATAATATTAACGGAAAACCAGAGGCTTTCAAAAAATCTCGTAGAATTCGGTAGCACTAGTAATAAAAAAATCGAAGAAACGATAAAATCATATTAAAAGTAAATAATTGATTTGAGTTTCTCGTATAATTAAATTGTATTAAAATATCGGGATTTGTTTTTTTAAGGTGAAAATTTGTAGCAATAACTGTCGAAAGAACGATTGAAATACCGTATGGTTTAACGAGAATATTGACGCAAAACGAGCGCGTCAAAGAATGATTGTTTGAATTCGCGATTCGAATTTCGCGTGCCGTAATAATATCGGTATATTTCAAAAATTAATGAGAGTATAACTAATAACTGATCAATAAGGGACATTGCTAAAAGAAATCAAAACACTGCATAAATTTAAGATGTAATCGGCGCGAGTTGTTGCAAAAAAGGAAAAACTCAAATGCGCGTTTTAAAATTTTTATATGCGCAATTTTCTTTAAAACACAATTGTATCGATTTCATTTCAAACAAATTAAAAAAGAAAGTGGCGCATAATTTTGCTACATATCTGAATTTGTAACAAAATTCCCATTCACAGTCAAATTTTATTAAAATGTAAAATATGGTGCACTTGAAAGAAAAGAAAATATATGAATGAAGGAACAGGATTTCTAGGACGGAACTATTTTTTCAATTTTCGCGATTTCGGTTTTTTTTCGATTTTATATTTTCGAATTGAAATTCTATTTTAAACCAGTTCGTTATCGATTTTTTTTAATTCTTAAATAAAAATCGAAAAATAACGGCAACTTCTTTTCCCTCTGATGCGCGTGAAATGAATCTTTTGAAAAATGGAGTATAAGTCTTGTAACTTAATATAAGTTGTTATATAATAATCTCTGAGAAAAAAAATCTTTTGAAAATCTCGGTAGAAAAGAAAACCGAAATCTCTTCATTATTCTTTATTTTTCATTATTTCCAAGTAAAAACAGAAAAATCACGAGCATTTCTTTTCCTTCTGAGACGCGAAAAAAGCATTTTTTAAATAATTTTTTAGATAAAAAAAAATCGAAAATTTGTGCAGAAAAGAAAACCGAAATTGCTTACTTCCTAAAGGAAGATTCTTTCTGCAAGAACTCTTTTAACGTTCTGCAACAATGTCGCCATGATTCTGCCACAGGGATTTCCTCTAAGTAAC